ACGGTAAAGCGCGGGGAGCGGCCAAGCACCCCTCCCGCGGATCCATCCTGCCGCGGCAGCGCTCCGCTGAGCCTCTCTTCCCCTATCCTGGCAGCCGGTTGACGGTCCTTGGAATCACCGGGACCAGCTCCGAGGGGGAATTTTGAAACCGAAAAGGTGTTTGCTGCGCGATGCAAAACGCCACCACTTGAGTTACCTCTGAAACAGACAATTTATTGGAGTGAACATACCTTTTAACATATTCTCTTTTTTTTTGTCAAGATAAATTTGTGCAGTAGGTGTAAACTTAGTAGAAGTGCTGTTTGTGAATTATATGCTAACAAGGAAATCAGGAGGAAAAACTCTCGAAAAGTCTTTATAACTAATGTCGGCATGCCTTAAATCTGAATTAAAATTTCCCGTTTGTAAACTTTCGGATGTAAACTTTTTAAGTAGGTCTACGCTATAGCACGTGCTTTTTGGACATGGAATTAAATAACTTTCACGACATTGATCCCTTAAAGTCGCAGCCAGGATAAATTCTTCAGAACAGCAATGAGCAAAGTCTGTCCGTTGAGCTGAGCAAACTGAACTTTAAATCCTCGTTTCTGTTGTTGGTTTAAAAAAAAAAAAAAAAGAAAAAGTTTTATATTTAAACTCTCGCAAGTCTCTTTTCAGTGTAGCTGACTCTTCAAGCGTTAGAAAGTCCTTCGCCCCGCGGCGGGCCTGTTAGGAACAAAACATTTTGCTTCCTGATTTGGGAAACGCCAGAAACTCTTTGTTCGAGTCATGGTGGGCCAAGTTTGAGAGCTGCCCCTTGAGCACGCTGGCGCCGTTCCCCACCGCGCGTCCCAAGGCGCCCGTTTCCAGAATGGCTCCTTTGGTGGTAGCCCAGGAAACTGTCGTGTTGCTCAGGGCTTGGTTCAAAGTACTGTGCCTGAACAGGGGGTCGTGAAACACCCCGTCCACCCAGTTCCTGAGGCTGGTGACCGGCGAATCCTGGTGCCTGTCGATGACACCGAGCGGGGCGGAGACGGCGGCGGCGGCCGAGCCCCCCGGCCGCTTCAGCATGCAGGAGGGGTACTCGGCCTGGTTGAGGGAGGTGGCGGTGTGCGCCAGGGACCAAATCCTGGGCTTCGCCTCCAGCAGCTGCTGCC